CCCCAATCCTGTGTTTTAGTGACTTCAATTGGCAGAGACCCTCCTGCTAGTGATCCCTGCCCCATGCTGCGGAGGAATGCGAAAAACCTCCAGAGGCTCAGCCAATCTACCCTGGAGGAAAATTCCTTCCCGACCCCAAATATGGCGATCAGTAAGACCCCGAGCATTTAGGCAAGAGTCTCTAGCCTGACCTCTGTTAGCTATTATATTATTAACCCACCATTGCTTGGTATTCCTTGGCTACTATGTTTTACCATTAAACCATTCCCTCCATAAACTTATCTAACTTAATCTTAAAACCAGACAGGACAGAACAGAGCAAAATTAACCATTTTTATTGTATTTGTTTCAATTGATATTTTTAAAATGTAAGTTTTTTATAAAGTTTTTTGCTCAGCAACAAGAAAAAAAGCTCTCAAGTGGGAACAATAGCTAGTCAGCTCATAAAATCATTAGAGGGAATACTTTTGCTACCTACCATGCAGAGGAGTTTTGCTTTTGGGCAATGGTCCAGATCAATTACAATTTTTTTCCCCTAATGCACACTAGATCAGTGAAAGGTATAGCTAATCTTAAGTCTACTTGAAATTGCTATTATTCTTTTTCAAAAGCGATGCTGTTAAGGACTCACTAAAGTACAGGCACATTGCTTTAAAAATGTAATAGATTTGTAGGTCTGCTTTCATCTTGCATTAGAAAACCAGTTAGATGGCAGAAGCCTATTAGTTATGTAGTCTATGTCCATGCCGGAGAAGGAGTCTCTCCTTCAATATGATCTTCAGTGCTTTATCTATTCTAATTTTAAATGTATCAGGTGACCCACAAAATCTCATAGAAAGGTGGATACAAATAAAAAGAAGAATTCTTTTGATTTAAATTGGATATTTTTGATATTTAAATTTTAATGTTGTTTAAAAAAACAAGCCTATTTAAAATGAAATCTGAATTTAATACAAAATATGTTAGGGCCTAAACTTATTATAGTTTAGCTGTAAACGTGAAACACGTTTTGATAAGAGAAGTTTATGGAGCCAAAACATTTAAGGTAGTTTTGTTTAATACAAATAAATGTTATAGCTATTTTGTGTTTAATTACATTTCAGTTACCATCCTAATTCAGCTCGACACAAATCATGACCAAAAGTTAACTCTCTCGTACAAAAGCAATACATCATTCACCATTTTCTGACATACTAAAAATGTACAATTAATAAGAAACTGCAAATATTAAGCTACATAATTGCTTAAATAAATGCACATTGTTACACTGTGTGCGTAGAAAAAGATGTACCAAATTTAGTATAAAGGCTCCATTTATTTGTAAATCAACATGTTTTAATGGTTATGCCAACCCATAAAAATGCACCTCTCTTTAGAAAACAAGTAGAAATGGAAAAATTATTAAAATTGATTATTTAAATTGAGGCTTGGTGATTTAAATCATGATTTTCATCACATTGATTTAAGTTAATTCACGCAGTCTCCTACATATCCTGCATCTGTGACGGGCAGGAAGTATGACTAGATGACCTAACCTTCAAGGTTTCTTTCAAAGCTGGCCTTAGCATTTTTTTGGGTAGGCTGGCAAAACAGTTTCACACTCTTCCCCGTCATCAGACTCCATTAACAATGATTACTGCGCTACACAGAGGACTAATCTCAGGATTTTGAGGATTAGTAAAATGGGGCTGTGTTCTGCTTAACTATACATTTTAACACAAAAGTGTGTGTGTGTAGGAAAGAATGGGAAGACAAGAAACCCCACAGTCTCTAGTTACAGAAGTGGAGCCCAGCTGTGGAGGATTGTGGTTAGTTGCCAATAATTAAAAAAAAAAAAAAAAGTTACTCCCAGGAAAAAACTGTCCAAGTAAGATGGATACCTAGGGGCCATTAGGCACTCTGTATTCTGCTGAATGTTATCACACTACCTGTTATCAACAGTAATTGTCCAACCCTCTTCCCTCTGGCTAGTATTTTATAGAGAAACTAAGACATAACAATTAAATCAGTTGACCATGGTCACAAAAGGGATGCTAGTCAGTGTTGAATTAGAAAACAGGAATTCCCTGTTCTTAATCTTCTCAGGTGACTTCTCATGGAATTCTGTTGCTCCATCCGGGAAGAGGTCACGCTGGCTACTCAGAGGAGTTAGCTCAGTTGCAGGCAGCTGATTGGGGGGGAACCTACAGCAGCACTAGTACCATGAATGAATCTTGGATGCCACTGCCCCTCATATTCGCAAACTGACCTAGAATCCTCACAAAGAGAATTGTGGCACTGGTTTTCTCAAAGGCCAGCAGTGCAGTGAGGCATAAACAGACAGTGATTTTAAGGAAAGCTATCTTTCTCAAAGCTGTTTTAACATGGAAAAGGTCTAAGCTGATATTCTCCTTTACATTTCTACGTCCCTCAAATACAGAGATAAGGAAACCAGCATTTTGGCGTAATCTTCAAGTCATTTTGTCCCAACCAGCAGCTTTGAAACGGCATCTATGCTGCAAATACCAATATTTCAAAAGAAAGGAATCTAACATGTGGCAAGCCTTCCAGTTTTACCTTCTAGAGCCACTTCAAGTGACAGCGCTATACAACATCACCATTATCAAAATAAATAAATAAATAAATAAATAAATAAATAAATAAATAAATAAATAAATAAAGCCTATATTATAATACAGACAAATGTTTCCATTTTAAAAAATATAAGTTCCAGAAGTCCAGCCCTATTGAACAAACCTGTAATAAACCATTTTTTAAGAACAGTCAATGAAGAACCAGCTTCAACGCTTAGAGTCAAAACAGATTGAGGGAGAAAATATACTAGAAATGAGTCGTAAAATGTATCAGTTTGCTTTTTAAATAGTCTTAGATCTTTAATAATGAATATAGATAACTATTTGATCCAGTGTTATGCAACTAAATAGAGCAGCACGTAGCTATTGCACAATATATCTACAGGATTTCCGGTAGAAAGGAACATATAAAAAGTTCTATCACAGAAGTCCTTGGACATTAATTTTTGGTGCTGGATTCTAACAAATCTTTTGCTTCATTTATTTTTGTTGCTAAGTAGGGAGATCCACCTGAAAAAAGGGAGAAAAAACAGATTTATATCAGTATGAAATACAAAACCATTTAACTTAGAGCATCCCTTTAATTATTGGTGATGTGGTTTATTAGTTTCCTCCCCCTCCAAAAAAATCATTCATAATATGTCAGAGATAAATTAAACTAGTGGATATATAAACAGAACAAACATGAAATAAAATCTTAATCACTGTAAAAAATAATGCAGAGCAGCAATCTCCTATTAAAGTGAAGTCCTCATGAAAAGTCTAAAGTTATTCTCTGAAATCATCTTATATTGGCATTTACCTGCAAGATTTAGACTGAGTGCATTGTTCCTGCACCTGTTAAGCAAGGTCAGCTACCCTGAACAGTTCATCTAATGAGAACAGCTAGGATTTCTCCCCCCTCCCCCAGAAATTATTAGAGGCAAAATGTTATAAGTAAATTTTTGATACAGAATATTAAGAACATACACCAAGCCTATTCCATTCTAGATTCAGAGACACAGAAATACCAGCCAAAAAATGTCACATTAAAGCTATTTAAACACGGTATGCCTTCTAACTTCTGGTCCTGAACAGTGTCATTGCTTTACGCTCCATCTAACAATCTGATTACAGTTCAGTGGTCTTTGTGTTTGTTTTTTTACTCTCCTCTTGAGTGCCAACCATCTGCCTACAGTCACCAAAAACAACATTATAAGGTCTGTATCAGTAGCTCATCACTCACTAGAACACACCTCTATCTTTGTACATTAAAATGTGGTTGAAACATCACTGTGCCCTGAACAACCCTTTCCTAAGCATCTGTTCTGATGAATGAAAAAGTATGAATAAAATTTAAGGATACAGAAAGGACAAGTAACAGTTCTAGATGCCTGGCAACAGAAGGAGATGGGGCTTCCAAGACTGGAGGACTTCACTGTGTCTTTTAGATCAGGAATCTAAACCACTACACACTCATTCCCAGATAGGGTTGCCAACCCTACTGGATTCACTGGGAGTCTCCCGGAATCACGCACTTTTTCTCTTGGAGGCTACTGAAGCCAAACAGGGAGATTTTAGGCACTGGAGTCTGGCGGCGGCAGCAGGGCTAAGACAGGCTCCCTGCCTGCCCTGGCTTTGCGCTGCTCCCTAAAGCTGCTGGCACGTACCTGTGGCTCCCTTAGCCCCGCCAACCAGGAGCCACCTGAGGTAAGCGTCTCCAGGCTGGAGCCTGCACCCCACACTGCCTCCTGCACCCCAACGCCCTATGACAGCCCGGAGCCCTCTCCTGCACCCAAACTCCCTTCCAGAGCCCACACCCCTCACCCCCTCCTGCACCCCAATCCCCTGCCCCAGGCTCAGACCAGAGCCCCCTCCCACACTCCAAACTCCTCAGTCCCACCCCCCAGAGCCCATACCCCCTCCCGCACACCAACATCCTACCCCAGCCCAGTGAAAGTGAGTGAGGGTGGGGAGAGTAATCAATGGAGGGAGGGGGGATGGAGTGAGTGGGGCAGGGCCTTGGAGAAGGGGCAGGGCAAGGCAAGGGCGTTTGGGTTTGTGTAATTAGACAGTTGGCAACCCTATTCCCAGATCTAATACAGAAACAACTTAGTGAAGTCCATATTTTTTAAGTGTGTGCTGTGTTGTGTGTGTGTTTGGGGCGGGGAGGGGGGAGAATGCCTACCAATACATATGTAAAGTTTTTCTGATAACTGGGGTTTATAAGGAGTGGGGATTACCGAATTGAATGTAGCTTGTCTAGTCCCCTTTGAGAGCAGAGGAATGAAAAATAAAATGATAAATTACAAAAAGCAATGCAAGCTAGAGAAATATTAACTATACACTGTTTAAATGCCAAAAGTGAATTTTCTCAAAATAAAGTCAAATTTGCTAGAAGCATTTTTTGCTACATTTACATCATTAAGTGCACAATCTATTTCGTTGCCTTCCAATGAGAGAGAAACTGGTATCATGCAAATCAATTATTTGTAATTTTAGTTTCGATACTCAGTGCAACAATTTTTGTGGCTTTCGTTGTGTATATTATTTCTCTAAAAACATTTGATTTTGATTGATTTATTTAAAATTGTGTCTTCAGATCCCATAGTTCTCTCATAACTAGCCTACATAACTGTAGTTTTAATCAGTTTCCATTGTTGTCCTTTTCCCACTCACTCCAATTATCTGCTACAGCTGTGTATTGTCTCAGGCTTCGACCCTGACACTGGAGCCACATGGGCAGAGCCCTAATGAAGTCAAAGGAGCTCTATGTGGGTATATGGGCCTGCCTGGGTAGATGCAGGATTAGGACCTATGGCCCCAATTCTGCAATTGGTAGTGCACAGGTGGGCTGCTGAGTCTACACAATGCCCTGCTGAAGTCTACAGAGCTCCAGGCAAGTGCAACTGTTGGCTCAGATGCTATCAATTGTGGGAATGGGAGACTTTAGTGTATAGTATCTTCAGAACAGGGATTGTCTTAATATGTGATACAGCACCCAGCCGAAAGGAACCAAGATCCTGATGGGGATCTCTGGGTGCCACAGCAATACAAATGATAATGTTTGTTAATCTAAACTTTTAACATACTGTACACTAAACTGTACCTCTGACCACCATAATATATTACAAATACAACAGAGAATTCCTTTCCTATTTTCAGAGTACAGAGTATACTCACTTTATAGAAAAACAAATTAAAAAGCAGAATGACAGATAACATCTAAGCAGGACTGTTTAGCCATTAGCAATCCAATGAGATAAGATGGCTGAAAGAAAAGTGCTTACTCAACACCTTATATTGCTAGAGGTCAGTTATCTTTTTATTATGATGGTTAGGAAAAAAAGTAATCCTGTAAATCTGTCAACAAGAGATAAAAAACTTCACTTCCCCCTTTTGACTTTTGAAATACAGTGCAATTCTACCATCTGTTATTGAAAAGTAGAAACAGGAATGAACATATGGGCTCTCTTTCTCAAGCAGCTGTAGTGTACTTAAAATTATAATAATAAACCTTTCTGTAAGATAAATTTACATTAAAAACCTGGCCAATTAAAGCAACTGTGCCCAGCTTTACAGTTTTCCAAGATGGGTTTAAGAAATCCAGAATCTGATATATTTAGTGATTATAGCACATGTCCCTCAGAGACTTGTGTGCTCATATATTTATGGCTGGAAAAAAAACAGTTCAAGCATTTTTATGTAACGTAAATGGGAACTTCATGGCTAGTGTTTTCCCTTCTTCAAAGCTCCTGGAACACTAACCACTAGTGAAGTGCTGATCTAGAAAATGAGCTCAAAAGGCAGCAGAGTAACCTAGTGCTCTTATTGCACGTGGATCTTGGATATCGGTCTGCTTTATTTATTAGAGAAAACAACAACATATAAAAGCTTAAGTCTCACTACTAAATATACAGCACATAATTTCATGAATTACATAAATGGCTAGCTATAGCCAGTCTAAGTAACTTGAAAGGAGCTCGTAACATGCGCTTTCCACCCAATATTAATGAAAACAACAGTGTACCTTTATCAGGGTGATTCAAAATCATGATTCTCCTATGAGCTGTTCTAATCTTGGCCTTGTCAGCAGATGGACTGTAGAAATAAATTAAAGTGCTTACCATAGTGTCAAATTCAGATTATAAATTATCAGTTTGCACAGATTTCAAGACAATTTAAAACTAGAGGTTTTCACCATCTTGTGGACAAAACACACAATTGCACCTTTCGGGATGTAACATTTTAATAAGCCTTTTAAGACATTTAAGGAAGTACACTTTTTTTTTTTTTTAAAGTCCAGTACAGTGCAGGAATACTGATAGCTTTTTTCTGTTCCAAAACTCAACAGTTCCTGCCACATACACGACAGAGACTGTATCAGCACAGTTATGTCAGCATAGCTATGCCAGCATTACATTGACAGAAGGGGGTTTTCTGTCGGTGTAGGACCACCACCTCCCTGGATGGCATTAGCTAGGTCAACGGAAGCCCTCTTCCCTCACACCCCTGATCAATGTAGCTATGCTAATATAACTTTTCATTACAGACAAAGCCTTACACAGATTTAACTGTTTTTTCCACCAGTGAACAGGGGGAAACGATCCTTTTCCTGGAAAACGGTTATTTACGACCAATGACAAAATATCTAATATTTGTTGTAACTATGTATCTGTACAGAGTATTATTAAAATATGGCAATATTAAATAATTCCTCATTCTGGTGAGATCAGAAAACTCTGCATTTTTTGTTTTTCCAAAGCTGTTCAATGTGTTACACTCAGGGACATGTCAATTTACAAATGCTACAGAAAGCTGTTCCTTTCAGTGACAGGAAGATAAAATATGTACTTCAACTAAATTAAGTGTGTATCTTACCAGCAAATAGCCACTTATGGAAGCATTGTGCCAGCACAGTAGCAGCGTGCCTTCTGGTGTGCAGAGGAACATTTCTATTTGAATCTGTATGGTTTAGTTTTTTTTAAATTAGTTGACATGGGAAATGTAGCCAGCATTTGCAGCAGCATTTACCACTTCAAGAGAAGCCAGAGGAAGGCAGCTTTTTGTCGCTCCACTAAAGAGTGTTATGGGTAACACTTTTTAGTGGTACAAAATTTCACCATAGAAGGCGAATACATACTGCCCTTGCCTTTTCTTTTTAGCCTAAGAGCGGAGGCTAATACATACTTCCACCCCCATTGTCCCCTTTTTAGCCAAAAGCTCCAAGAACCTAACTCCACTATCTGTGCAGGAATGCCAGGTCTCAGCCTAACTATATTCTTGTAGGGGACTCCCCTAAATATTGTAATTGTTACTCTTTAATCACAGGAAAAATCAGAGCCTACATATGTTGCAGAAGTGGTGCACAGAACTGCACTAGAGAAGAAAAGGCGATGCGAATAAAAATTAGGTGGTCAGAGGCCCTGAAAATTACATAATAATTGAGAAATAAGATTATTTATATTTCAAATAATTTTATATCAAACTGTTAAAGATCACAATATACCATTATTTCAACCTATAAAGCGGTTAATAAATAGGCTGCTGTAATCTAGTGGATTGAGCACACAGTTAGAACCAAGTTTAGCTGAGTTCTGTTCCCAGTTCTGCAACTCATTGTGTAACCTGGGACAAGAAATAATCTATATACTCCAGTTACCCCACAGGCGTAGTTCTCATAGGGACAATGATGTTTGCCCACCTTTGTCAGGGGATTTCAGACCTATATTGCTAAAGGGCACTAAGTGCAAAGTATTATTAGAATCCAAAAATGAGTATTATTGTATTAAGTTAGAAATTTAAATGCTCAAGAGTTAGGTTATGGCAAAATTGCATTAAAGTAGTGCAGTTCTGCTCTGAAAAATGACTGATAAAATGGCATGTAACATCAAGTTTGCTTAGTTTAACCAGATGTCACTAATCCTGCAAACTCAAAATCCTTTCTTAAACATCACCAGTAAAAAAAAGGTTCTGCATTGCAAGTTACACTGCCAAGCCTCAATTTCATTAATGCAACCTTACTCATTACCTTCAGGAAGGTTACACAGAGGTAACTGATTGGCCTTGTACATTTGGTCAGCCATATGTCTCTGGATACACATAGGAACAGATCTGTGGAGTAACATAATGCTATTTTCCAGTCATTTTTCAGAGTATAATCACACTTGAAGGTTGAATACACAACCTCAACTTTGCCCCGTGTGTATGCATTGATTATACAATCTATTGTACTACTTCTGTAGTGCAACATCTTAGCATTTTCTACAATCTTAGATTCTATTGTATATTCTTGCTATCTTTTTATTATTTCATACTTATTTTTATTGATTTATACACTATGCAATTTTTCTAGCTAACATATCAATACTTTTGTCACCACTTACATACCACATATTAAAATAATATAAAGATTTCCTTTGGAGAAAAAAAATCTTTATTTTATCTGGTAAGTTGTCTTGTAGAGAAAACAGTATGTACATTTTGAGTTTCTCTCATCTAGAACTAGCTAACTTACAATTCTCATTGGACTTATTCTGTAAATATAGAAAGTTCAGGACGTTTGCGTAATACAGGGGGAGCTGGTAGCATCTACTATATTTAGATTCCCTAACATTTTCCATTATAAAAGGTTCTTGTGTACTTCTCTTTGAAAAGCTCTCACAACTCCATTGTTTCCTGCAGGCTTTTGCTATTTGGCAGAGAAGTGCCTTTTATTTGTCCAATTTCCCTCCTCATGGGCATCACCTAGAGACAAGAGTTCCCCCAACTCCCAAGGTGATGAGGAGACAGCCAGGCTAGGCTTTCCCAAACCACCCTCTGGCCCCAGCAACCTATTCCCCTTCTCTCCATATGGAGCAAAGGCTTCCCAAACTTGAGGTAGAGGCGATAGGGAAGGGGGGGGGGGAGGGAGAGAGAGAGAGAGAGTGTCAGTTTGTAATTCTACTGTTGATAACTCTGAGATTCTATTGTACTGTTCTCCAGCATACACAAAAGCAGCACATGAAGTACTACAAGATGCTACATGCGCAGACTATCTAAGATCATTGGAAAGTGGCATTTGAGATGCGATCACATATTTAACACTTTTGAAATACTTATACACAACAATGTATGTAATAAGCATCACCCACAAGAAATGAGTCAGTTTTAAAGTCCTGAACTCTCTCAGAACCATCAAAATATGCACATACAAAAACTAAGTAGGCACTGATCTTAGTACTGTAACCTTTGTATTTCTTTATGTGTATCATCATATCACTGGGGCACACGGATCAGCATTCATGTCACACTCTCAGTCAGTACTCGGCCTGAGCCGGGGAAGCTAATGATCCAACCAGCAGACCAAATTCAGTGATGAATCCTGGTCACATGCCACCCAAGGCACATTGTGCATACGCTAAAGAAGAAGGTCATATCACTTCTAAATTCAACTACATTCTGAGGCAGGGACCATTTCTTTGTATTTATTCTCTAAAGCACTAGTATGTGTTAGGCATTACATAAATAATAAAAAGAGGCACTGATAAGGGTGTGCATTCAGATGTAGCTTTTGCATTTCCTAACTTCTGAGCAAATTACATTAATTGATTGCATATGTTAATCTCCTTTTAAAAGATTATCCAGAGTTTTTGGGCTAGTCAAATTTGCAAGACTTCCTTCTGCAGTGGGAAGAAGCCTGATGGGCCAGATGCACTTTACCAAGTCTGCTTGCACTGGCACTCCCTTTACTCCCTGGTCCTCCTGAGCAATCTCCTCTTGTGGCACTATATTTAAATGCAGAGTCAGTGAAATCTATCTACCCAGACTTTTTTAAACATTAGCTATGCTGCTAAATAATTAAAGGCCCAATCCTACAAATATGCATGAGTAACTATTTACATATGTAGTCCCATTCAAATGTGGTGTTTGCAGGATTGGGCCACAGATACTAAAAACTATCATAGCTGGAGATGAGAGCACAAGTTACGAACTACTGAAAATAAAGGTTTATGATTTAAGTCTTGTTACCTTCGCTACAACAGATGTTACCTCAGCTAACATAGAGCCTACCATAATAATACTTCACTTATAATGCCTTCCTCATAAATCTCAAAATTGAATTAAGCCCCAGAACCATTGTGAGCTAAGGATTTCCTTTTTACAGACGACAAAGATGAGGGACAGAGATTAAAATAACTTGCCAGAAGTCACAGAAATTTTATGCCACAGAATAGGGAATCACAAGACCCAAGCACAATACCATTTTTCTTCCCTGATTATGGAGACACCAGTTACTGCTCCATAGTTAATGCTGAGTTCCATTTTGCATTTAAAGTACAGATTAATCCTGTTTTACGTCCACAGCCTCCACAAAATTATTGTTTAATTTTGGGGGCACAGAATGGATTTTCTGAGAATTTACAGTCTGATAATTAGTGTAAGTTAAAAATTCATTAAAATTAGCCTCTAAGAAATTTAGCATCTGTCAGTGTTTGTCCCAAATGATCTTAGTAATGGAACAACACAGACTCTTCAGATTATCCACTGAGTTAATTTTTGTTGAAATCTTGTGCATAAATTATGTTAGAAGAAATTAGGTTGTATTTAAGCTATATTAATAATGTGTGTTGTATCTAATTGTTACATTTATAAAAACTACACACAAGGTCCAGTTAACAGCTCAGTTAACGTGTAAGTGGGGCTTTGTGACAGAGAGAACTCAACAAATCACAACCGTTTCCCTACAGCTAATTTGCATGCATCATTTTGATTAGTTATAATGAGTCAGTGCTATGAGGAAAACTGGACACATTCAAAATAAGGCTGTCAAATGATTTAAAAAATTAATCGTGATTAATTGTAAAAAATTAATCGCACAATTAATCGCACTGTTAAACAATAATAGAATACTATTTATTCACGTAGTTTTGGATATTTTCTACAATTTCAAATATATTGATTAAGAACATAAGAATGGCCCTGTTGGGTCAGACCAAAGGTCCATCTAGCCCAGTATCCTGTCTTCTGACAGTGGCCAGTGCCAGGTGCCCCAGAGAGAACAAACAGAACAGGTAATCAAGTGATCCATCCCCTGTCGCTCATTCCCAGCTTCTGGCAAACAGAGGTTAGGGACACCATTCCTGCCCATCCTGGCTAATAGCCATTGATGGACCTATCCTCCATGAATTTATCTTGTTCTTTTTTTAACCCTGTTATGGTCTTGGCCTTCACAACATCCTCTGACAAGGAGTTCCACGGGTTGACTGTGCGTTGTGTGAAGAAATACTTCCTTTTATTTGTTTTAAACCTGCTGCCTATTAATTTCATTTGGTGACCCCTAGTTCTTGTGTTGAGAAGTAGTAAACACTTCCTTATCTACTTTCTCTACACCAGTCATGATTTTATAGACCTCAATCATATCTCCCCTTAGCGGTCTCTTTTTCAAGCTGAAAAGTCCCAGTCTTATTATTTCTCCTCATACAGAAGCCGTTCCATACCCCTAATAATTTTTGTTGCCCTTTTCTGAACCTTTTCCAATTCCAATATATCAATTACAACACAGACTACAAAGTGTACACTGCTCACTTTTTATTTATTTGTACTGTAAAAAACAAAAGTAATAGTATTTTTCAATTCACCTAATACGAGTACTGTAGTGCAATCTCTTTATAATAAAGTTGAACTTACAAATGTAGAATTATGTACAAAAAAATTACTGAATTCAAGAGTAAAACAATGTAAAATTTTAGAGCCTACAAGTCCACTCAGTCCTACTTCTTATTCAGCCAATTGCTCAGTTTGTTTACATTTACAGGAGATAATGCTGCCCACTTCTTGTTTACAATATCACCTGAAAGTGAGAACAGACGTTCGCATGGCAACGTCATAGCTGGCTTCGCAAGATATTTATGTGCCAGATGCACTAAAGATTCATATGTTACTCCTGAGGGCATTCTGTGCCAAAAAATTAAAAATTCTGCGCACAATATTTTAAAATTCTGCATGTTTTATTTGTCAATATATAAATGCAGAGGCTCCAGCATGGCAGTGGGGAACACAGGCCACTGGCTACACAAAGGTGGGAGATCACCCTGCAGCTCCTCCACCCCGGGACATGGACTCAGCGGTGAGGCTGCACCCGACCCTGACACAGCACAATGCCCTAGAAACACCCTGGGACCCTGCTCCTCTGAGCCAGGTGCGGGGCAGGCAGACTCAACCAAGCAGGATCCAAGTGTAGAGGGGCTCAGTGTGGGGGGATCCAGGTGTGGAGTGAGAAGATTCTGTGTGGGACAATCTGAGTGCAGGCAGCTCAGTAAGGTGTCTAGGTGTGGGGGGATCTGGATGCACGAAGGCTCGCTGAGGGGCTCCAGGTGCAGGGGCAACGAGACTCTGCAGGGGCTTCCAGGTGAAAAGTGGTTGGGGTTCAGCGCAGGGGTCTGGGTGTGGGGGAGTGGGGCCTGGGTGTAGCTAGTTGGGGGCTCAGTGGCGTGGGGGTCTGGATGTGGGGGCTCAGGGTGGTGCAGGGTGTGGAGCACCAGGGAGGGGGTTTGAGTGCAGGGAGCTTAGTAGGGAGTGGTCTGGGTTCAGGGGTGGGGGTCTGGAGGCAGGGGGTCTGGGTGCAGGGGGTCTCCAGGTGCAGGGGTTGAGGTTCAATGGGGTTTTGGGGTATGTAGGGCTAGGGAGGTTCTGGATGTATGGGGTGACGCTAGGCGGGGGTGCCTGGGTATAGGAGGTCTGGATGCATAGGGGTTGAGTGGATGGGGGAGCAGCTCCCTGTACAATGACCCCTCCCCCCGTCCTCTCCTGCCTCCAGCCCAGACAGGACTAGTAGCTGATCCCGGCTCAGGGTAGGAGCCACTGGCTGGGGTGTCCCAAACCCCGTGGTGATTTACCTCTCCGCTGGCTGCTCCGGGTGCCTGAAACGATGCACCTGTGCTGCTAGGGAGTGGTGCGTCACTGCTCTTGCAGCTTACCTTTGCTTCCCTGTCAGAAAGTCATTTTTCTGTGGGGAAGCAAATACATTTGCAGGCGATATGAATTCTGCACACATGCAGTGACACAAAATTCCTCCAGGAGTAATAGGTCCCTTCCTGCTTCAACCACCATTCTGGAGGATATGTGTCCATGCTGCTAATGGGTTCTGCTCGATAACTATCCAAACAAACAGTGTGGACCAATCCCATTTTCATCATCTGAGTCAGATGCCAGCAGCAGAAGGTTAATTTTCTTTTCAGTGGTTCAGGTTCTGTAGTTTCTGCATTGGAGTATTGCTCTTTTAAGACTTCTGAAAGCAAGCTTCACACCTCGTCCCATTTTGGAATGTACCTCAGATTCTTAAACCTTGGGTCGAGTGATGTAGCTATCTTTAGAAATCTCACTTTGGTACCTTCTTTGCGTTTTGTCAAATCTGCTGTGAAAGTGTTCTTAAAAGGAACAACATGTGCTGGGTCATCATCCAAGACTGCTATAACAAGGAATATATGGCAGAATGTGGGTAAAACAGAATAGGAGATATACAATTCTCCCCCAAGGAATTCAGCCACAAATTTAATTCATGCATTATTTTTTTAATGAGCATCATCAGCATGGAAGCACGTCCTCTGGAATGGTGGCCGAAGCATGAAGGGAGATATGAATGTTTAGCATACCGCACGTAAATACCTTGCAATGCTGGCTACAAAAGTGCCATGTGAACGCCTGTTATCACTTTCAGGTGACACTGTAAATAAGAAGCGGGCATTATCTCTCGTAAATGTAAACGAACTTGTTTGTCTTAGCGATTGACTGAACAAAAAGTAGGACTGAGTGGACCTGTACGCTCTAAAGTTTTACATTGCTTTGTTTTTGAGTGCAGTTATGTAACAAAAAATCTACATTTGTAAGTTGCACTTTCACCATAAAGAGATTGCACTACAGTACCTGTATGAGGTGAACTGAAAAATACTATTTATTTTCTTTGCCATTTTTACAGTACAAATATTTGTAATAAAAATAACAATATAAAGTGAGTACTGTCTACTTTGTATGCTGTATTGAAAATGAAATCAATATATTTAAAAATGTAGAAAAACAAAGAATATTTAATAAATTTCAATTGGGTATTCTATTGTTTAACAGTGCGATTAAAACTGCAATTAATCGTGATTAATTTTTTTTAGTTAATCACGTGAGTTAACTGCAATTCATCGACAGCCCTAATTCAAAATTCTTGTTGGCAGATTAAGGAGAAGTGACAATTGGGACAAGTAAAAGTTCTATGACCACATACTGGCTGGGGCATCAGTACTTTAAAAGGCTCCCCACAGGATGGCATTCTTGCCTTTTCTCCACTACACACTAAGATAGTACTAACTGGGGAAACAAGCAGAGCATAAAGGATACCTTTAAAGTGCATAGACATTGGAATTATGGGGCTGGGATCTCCCATCCCTCCTTTACATAGCACCTGTTCTCTAACGCAGACCTCTAAAACAACAATTCAACTGCAAATTAAGGTCCAGAATCACCAGTACATCGACTGCTATGAACTGTTCTGTCAAAGTAAACCAACTTTAAAGCCATCTAAATGGACCAGTAAGCTCTAGCTGCAATGCACTACTCTGGTGTACCAGTGAATCTGCCCATAAGTTTAATTTTAATAAGTGATTTAAGGTTGCTAATGCATTTCTTCAAGTCACCCAAAATACCACATGGTACCATTCTCTTTGGGTTTCTTGTTTAGTGTGCACGTATAAAATATCTATTTTCAAAACCTAAGGAAATTGCAAGACAAAAAATACATCAAGGACGACATAATTTTGGGGTATATCAGTTAAAGACCCTTACAGGAATGTTGTAATTAACTTGAAATGTAACCTTAACTCTCAATTGCCTGGATTAATAAGCGTTAGATAGGCATCATTACAACACTCCTGTAATTAAAGTCTAATTAATGTTAAGGTTACACAAACAAAATTGAACTGCACAGTTAAGTGAACCAAACAATTTTAACTCTGGCCTATAGCGACTTCCTGCAATAATCATGCAATTATGATTAAGACATTTTAGCATTTGTGGCCCCAGATTAGATTAAACTATTTTTAAAGACATTCAGGGCTCCCCCTACTCTTTTCTCCCTTCCTGGAGTTGCTATTAGGAAGAATAAAGGTGGTTTGTGTGCCTTAGTTGTGCATTTCCATATGTTAAAAGAAATCCAAACATGTTTAAGCAGGAGCGGCGCCAGGGTTTTTGGCGCCCTAGGCAGGGGTCCTTCCGCGCTCCCCGTCTCTGCAGCAATTCTGCGGCGGGGGGGTCCTTCTGCGCTCCCGGTCTTCGGGGCACTTCGGCGGCAGGTCCCGGAGCGAGTGAAGGACCCGCCGCAGAATTGCTGCCGAAGACCCGGAGCACAGAAGGACCCCCCGCCGCCGAATTGCCGCCAAGGGTGCCCTAGGCAACCGCCTAGGTCGCCTAATGGAAGCGCAAGCCCTGTGTTTAAGTCTAATCTTAACTCTTAATTGCCTGGGTTTGTAATGCTTGGTATTGGACATAATCACAATATCCCTGTAATGTGTTTCACCCTTAAGTTACACATGCCTACACTCCCCGTTAAATTCATCCTAATACACTGTATTGCATCCTCAACTCCTTTAACCACAATAAAAAAAAAAGATGTGAAGAGAGATTACACATACATTTGAAATGACAGACTCAATGGAATTGCTTTCTGCATTACCGATGCATTAATACAATCCACAGAATTGTAAATCTTTATTTTGTAGTGAGATCAGCATAGATGATCATGTTGATCAGCATAGTATGTGCTGTTCTGATTTATATTTACAGCATTTGCCCTCTACTGCTGTAAGGGGCCTGAAGGCATGATGAAAGTTGCATGGTTGCTCATTTTATTGTATTTTTTTTTCCAACCAAAATACAGTCTTAGAATGGCATATGGAACACAATTTTTGTTAACAAGTTACAGCTGTGAGCACCATATAGCCCTATTCTTTCACCTTACATTTCTCCATTCAGTCTGGTGATAGAACAGAAACAGTATTAATGCAGCACACCTACCTTATGCCTAAAATAAGACTCGCTTCTCGTCTATTCATTTTCTGTTCAAATCCTCCTTTATAGTAGGATGAAAAACTCTATGGGGGGAGTGGAAGGGGGAGGAGGGGAGAGAGAGAGAGAGGAGGAGAGAGAGAGAGAGGGGGAAAATCATTAGTTCCAGGTACATAGGTGTCATGATCTCAATGCTATTCTATTACCTTAGCAAGGTTGATTGGCATTTGATTTGATGAAACTACTGAAAAACAAATATGGTTTAAAAGGAACTCTGTCGAACACTGAAAATCTGACCTCTTAAAAGTTACAGTTTGTGTTTTTACAGTGTCCCACTGATAATGAAAGACATTAATTGTTGCAGCCATTGATTTGTAGGGTTGAGAGTCTCCCTGCCCTTTGGCAGGGGAACCCTAATTGTCTAAATGCTGGGTAGAATGAAATTGCACATGAGCACTGCCCTGGGCTTCATGTGCACACAAATTCATGCTGACAACTTCCCCTGCCAATTGGGATTATTTGCTGGTTTTTTCCCCAGATCAGAAACTGAGATTTTAACCACTGTTTAAAACAACTGAAAGAGAAAACTTGTTTTGGAGAGTGAGGTGTGGTGAATTTTTTAAAAGCAAAAAATATAGTTGTCCAGGGAAGGGAGTGAGGATAAAACTGGTGCCTATCAACCATGTGTTAAAATAAATTATTAAAATAGCCACTTACACTAACTAAAGATATCAGTGTTGTTGTTGTTTTTTTAAATAAAAAGAATTAGGGACTAGTCCAGCATCACACAGCCTCAGCCCTCTGAGTCAAACAAACCCCAGAGACAACAGATGTAGTTCCAAGACAGCCTGACTATTGGGAGCTGGAGCCCAGAAGTCAGTTAAGAAGACTGAAGTTTTGTTAACTGCCAAATTTATCAACAAGTAAGCTTTATAAAAAGTAAGCTTCATCCTTTTATCATCTAAGTGAAGTCTGGCTTCAGAACTGTGCTTTTTACCTACAATTAAAATATGCCTGGCCCTTAATGAAACACATTTTCAGCTAGCTACTAAATATACCTAGTAATTATCAATAATAAAATTTGTCTTACATTTATACAGCACTTCATGCCAAATGAATGTACAAACACACATTTAAATTACATGCACTTATAAGGCACCTATTACGGTATCTAAGCAAACTTCATAGTTAAGATTAGGAGCAGATAGTCTCCCAAACCATAGTGCTTACACAAGAGGGACGCCTCACCCATTACCAAAAAAGCAGCCACCTCTGAGATAATGTTTTCACCCCTCAGCCAAAAGGCTGAGAAGTGAATATTACACCACAACATTACAGCTTTAGACAGGCAGAGAATTTGGTACCAAATAAAACTTCAGAGAGCACACAGGGCCTGCTAGTGCCCACTGAAGTCAATGGAAATCCTCCCAATCACTTCAATGGCCATTGAATTAGACTAGTGGTTCTCAACCTGTGGGCTGCTTGCAGGCCAGTCCCAGCTGTGCGATAAAAAAAATCCAAAGTTTGCCAGTCCCGGCAGAGGATGGGGCCAGCTGAGGGGTAGATGGCACCATGGAGCCCTGCTGATGTGCTAGTGCCAGCAGGGAAGGCAAAGCAGCCCTCTGTGGTGGGGGAGGAGCTCCAGTGGCAGCCTGCTGCTTCCTCCGGCCCTGGGACAAATTGTAGGGTTGCCAGGTGTCCAGTTACCACATGCGGGGGAAGGCTCCGGGCCATCAACCCGTGCCAGTCATAGGCGTAGTTTAGGAGGGCATTCCCCCCCGCCACCTCTCACAGAAATAGGGGGTGCTGAGTAGCACTTGCTCTGCTTAGCCTGTCGGGGTGGGGAGCATAGGTTCTGTCCTTCCCACACTGCCAGCTCACTCGGCGCCTCTCCCCAGTGGAGGCTAGCAGTTCTGGGATGCTGCCTCTTGCGACCTACTGCCTGTCATTATCCTCTTCTACGTGTGTTGGGTCCTGTTTCTGTACAACAGCGAGTGCCTATGTGGGGTCAGGACAAGGCAGTAGGGAGGGAAGAAGGATGGGATAGGGCAGAGAAGGGGAAGGGGGGGAATAGGACAGGGGACAGTGTGGAGAGGAAAGAGGATGGGGCGGAAAGAGGAAGGGAGGGGGTGGGTGAGTGTGATGGGGCAGGGGACAGTGGAGAGCGGAAAGAGGATAGGCCGGGAAGAGGGAGGGGATGGGGCAGTGGGACAGGGCAGGGGACAGTGGGAAGGCGGAGGGGGCAGGGTGAAGAGAAGGGGATAGGGGATGGGAAGGGGACAGTGGGGAGAGGAAGGGGATAGGAGGATGGGGTAGAGGGAAGAGAAGGGGATGACTGAGTGCAGCTACCAGTGGGAGAGCTGTCTCCTCGCTTCTGAGCATCCATGCCAGAGGCATCCATAGAAATGGGGGGGTGGCACATGCCCCCCCACTAGCCACAGCTACGTGTCACCTCTGGGGGTGAGATGAGCATGCTCCGGGCTGCAGTGCACCCTGAACTGCCTGCAGCAGACAGTGCCTACCTGCCCATCCCCTGCTGGCTATGTCCAGACCCGGAGCTCACAGCAAGAGCAGGAGGCTGCTCTGTAAGTCCTGTTTCTGGGGGGGGAGAGCTGGTGTGGGGTGGAAATTTGTTTCATCGGTGGCTTCCAGCTAGGATCCCCCATGGCTCGGTGGGTGGGATCAACCCTGCCCTTTACTGTCTGGGAGCAAGTGTTGAGGGACATGTGCCCAACTGGGCAGCCACAGCAGGTAGGGTAGTATATATATATTATATATATACATATATATTGCGTGGATGCAGTCTACATAACACAAAGAGCTGCATATGCAGCCCACAATGGTAAACAGGTTGAGAACTATTGGATCAGGCCCTGAGAGAGAGTAGAACATTACCACCTAAAGAGAAACTTGACAATGATACCTTACTACTTCTCCCCCCAGTTATTAAAGAAGACAGGTACTTTGGAAAATGTTGCCCAAGACTTTTTGAAAAAGGGACTTCAGTGACAGTCTCCTAGGTGCTTTGGAAAATAAGTCCCATTTTCAAAAGAGACTTTGGCACTTAGGTATTTTTGAAAATGTTACCTCTAGTGTAGCTCTCTAATGTTACAATGGGATACTGATTCAGCAGACTTTTCTCCATCAGCACTATCTCCTGAATTATCTCCACCTTCTCCCACAGAACCCTCCCCATGCCTTTGATAGGCTCCATTTGAGGTACAGACCGGTGCTCATTAACTTGAGATCACAGCCTAAGTCGGTCATGGGCAATCTGTGGCCCATCAGAGTAATCCGCTGGTGGGCCATGAGACAGTTTGTTTACATTGACCGTCCGCAGGCATGGCCGCCCACAGCTCCCAGTGGCTGCGGGTCACTGTTCTCAGCCAATGGGAGCTGCGGAAAGCAGCGCAGGCTGGCCACCACTTCCCGCAGCTCCCATTGGCCAGGAATGGCAAACCGTGGCCACTGTGGGTGGCCATGTCTGCAGACGGTTGATGTAAACAAACGGTCTTGCACCCCACCAGTGGATTACCACGACAGGCCGCATGCGGCCCGCAGGCTGCCCACCACTGGCCTAAGTAGTATGGCTGCATGACTGTGATGGTGCTGCCCATGGGAACCAGCTGAGGTCACTCAATTAGGGTGAACTGCAAACAAAACGGGGCAGACAAACCCCAAAAGCTGGTGGTTATTCCAATACTTAGATTTACCAAACCAGCACAAAGCAGCTTCTGTAGTACCTCACTGGTTATTCAGCAGTCCAAACAAAGCAGTTCCCTTAAAGTGCCCAGCCTCAGGCCTCCGTCCAGACACACCTGTCAGATATGATGATGATTACTGAAAATAATCATCCCTCTTGTGTAAGCACTATGGTTTGGGAGACTATCTGCTCCTAATCTTAACTATGAAGTTTGCTTAGATACCGTAATAGGTGCCTTATAAGTGCATGTAATTTAAATGCGTGTTTGTACATTCATCATCTCCCTTTTGGCCTGAGAAAACAATAGGCTTAACTCTTCTTCTCCCAAACATCCTGGCAATTAGCACAGGGTAATTCATCCATTAAACAGTTCAGATACAGGTTACCACAACCTTCAAAGAGACATATAGACAATACTACTATTTCACTCAACTATCATCATAAATGTTAATATTCCTTTTTTGATCTTTGAATTTAAGCTATAGCAATAGACAAGAATTGTTTGCTTATATTACAAGACCTGAGCAAACATCTAACTTTCTATCTTTAACAATGCAGACTTACATTTCAAAGCTCTATTCATTTACCTATCTTCCTAACCAGTCCTTAAGGTTCACCCATGGGTCAGGTCAGTCTGAGAGTTAATTAACTCTTTCTGGCCCTGTCATCTTTCAATGAGATATTATATTACACTCATACCATCATAATGACAAAATACAAACTCCCTTTTTATAATTGTAAACATTCTTATTATTATTAGCACCTAGGAGCTCTAGTCATGGAGCAGGACCCCACAGCATTAGATATTATACACAAAAGACAGGCCCTGCTTAGACTGCATACTTCAGGGAGCCTTGATCTTTATAGTTTCCAAAAAGCATTAAACAAGTGCTTTGCCCTGTTCTTTTGAGAGGAAGACACTCAGGCCTGTCTTGGACCTTTAAAATCACAGCTAGGTCATTAAGGACAATGGCTTTCTTCTCAAAGGACACTTATGGCACAAACAGCCCCTTTTTTAATGAAAGTCCCAGTCCTAAAGAGATTTGAAGCTTCCTTTTTAAAGCAAAGGAAATCAGACTAAAAGCCATCTTTGTCTAGGTTAGAGGCATGGGCAAGTGAGGACAGAACATTCCTTAAAAAAAAAAAAAAGGTAGAAGGGCAGTTTTCTAGCTACTAAAGAAGAAGTTTGATTATCCATCTAACTTACACGTGCTACTCGGACTTAAATAGAGAAGTGTTTTCATGAAGCAGTGCTACTTTTGATATTTCCTGTTAGGAAAACTCAAAGTGATAAGGGAAGGACATTTCAGGCACCCTACAATATTAAAATCAGCCTACCACATCTGCAATCCTTGCTGGGCTGGAAAGATCACAAAAGTGAGC